GCCTCTGTTCTCCTTTTGTTTCTGTTTAAAAACAAAAACCAAAGGGAGGAAGAATATGTGTTATTTTTCTTCTTCATCTGATTTGGATGCAACACGTGTGATCAGGTTTCTGACTCAACCTTCCCATGGAGAGGATTTCTCTCCCCTGTAGCCAAGTCACTCAGGACCACTAACAAGGCGTTTGCGTGGCCCTGCAAGGGACCGCTGCTGCCTCGAGGCTCAAGCAAACTCCTGCTATATCCCAGTTTATATGAACACCTGCCTTATCCGGAGACAATCCAACCAATCAGGCCAATATTCTTTGGCAGTGCTTCTCTAAGGCTCTTTCTGACCATCTGCTACTAGATACCTGCAGAAGATGCCAGGGATTAAGTCTGGTACCTTTTGCATGTGCTCTACCACTAACCAGTGAAATCTTTTCTAAAGATCATTCCCCTAGTACCTGGGCATGCCTGGGAGCTGAATTCAGGATATCTCACATCCATAGGAAGATTCATGCCCCTACTGCAGCCTTCAATAACCTGCTGCCCTTCAGGCAACTCCTCTCATCACCTACACAGTTGTACTGTGAGACTGGTTTGTAGCTCTTGTCGTCGGTTTCCTGATAACAGGTAAGATGGAGACCTTTTAGGGAAATGCTTTCAACTGGGAAAGTAGCTGAAAAACCTGTTGCTGTTGTTCATGCAGAATTTTACTCATTTGCGCTTTTCTTCTATGACTTGGTCTTACATTATATTATTCTGCTTTTTAAGCTATTTTATCATCATGTTGATTTGCTCTTTTAGTCTCTGTTGTATACTACTGCACACACTACCGCTTCATGACAGAGGAAGCAGTCCCGAACATCTGGAAGCAGTTCCTAGCGCAAGCAGCAAAGCACTCCTGAGCAGCACCCTTCATGTGGCAATTCAAAAGCAGCAGGGGAGGCAGAAAAGGACACTTAGGAGAAGTGCGGGGAATAGAGGACAAATAGCACTGAAGCCATCGGGGGACAATGATCTTTTCATTCATATTACTAGCCCCTGGGAGGCTTTCTGCTGCCATCCCCTTCAGCTCTGTCGCTAACCAGAATTTATAGGCTGGCTTTCCATGTCCTCTTGCCGCAGAACCAGTGCATTAGAATCCTATGAAATCACAAATTATTAACTTGCCCAAGAGCCTTCAGAGGAGATCCTGCCACACCTGCTCTGGAAGTCGGTTCTAAGCATCTTTGTTTGGAACCAAGCCCTACTATGTTCAACAAAGCTTACTGCCTGGTGAGTAACAAATTTCAGACTAGATCTCTGACGAGGATGTCGCATTCATCATTTTAGAGTCAAAACAGATGAATTTTCCCGTCAAAGGCAGCACCATTTCTTTAATGGCAGTGCTCTCACAGTAAATTCTCATTCTGAAAAGTAGTTTGATAAAGATTCATGTACAAGCAAGCGCCAAGATGGAGGGACCAAATTCATTTAATATGAATGACTTAGTCTGACTTAACAGGTGCCTCCCTGTCTCCATTGCAAAGGTTATCATTTTTCATGTTTTTTTCTTAGCCCATCAATCTTTGTCTCCTATGTTTGTTTTTTCTCTGAAAACATGCTCAAAGTTACCCAAGGAAGGTTCTAAGCAATCATAGACTTAAACAGTGTAAAGAGCACCTTCCTTTCAGCTCTCTGATAGGGCTTTATTAATCAGCATCAACAAGCAAGACTGTTTTACGTGCATTTTTATTCCACTGAGAAGATTCACGATAATGTCTCCTAAAAATGCTTCAAGATATTTTTGATGTGTTCTGCAGGTTGCACACAAGATGTCTCAGTCAGGTCCAATAAAGAGCAACATGTCTACATGGGGGAAAACTATTTCAAAGCAGATTCGCAGTAGCTCTACCTTTGATGCTATATTTTGGAGGCCTGTACATAGTGAAGGAGGTGCAAAGATAAAATACCTTCATTTCGCTTCTCTGCACCTGCTGCTTCCTACCTCTCCTCACCATCTGTCCTCCATTCCCCCCACTCACCTTGCTGTCCCATCTCCACTCAGAATACCCCCCGCCTTTGAAAGGAACAAAATTCATCGAAAGAGAAGGGGAGCGGAGCATAGAAGGCACTTGCTACACTCCATCACCCCCCATTTCCACACCACGATCCAAGCAATGCCCCAACAGATATGTGTGTGTGTGTGTGTGTGCACGCGCATGTGTGCACACATGCACATGTATCATACAGGTACGATTCCTGATTCAAGAAGAGACTGATCCATAAAGATATACATCAAAATATGTGTTTAACTGCAAATGCAGTCGATTCCATTGCATTATTTTAAAAGGGATCCACATATTAGACCTGTCTCCACTGTTGGATGTGCACACAGGTGCAAAAGCACATCTGCTGAAAGCAATGCAGTGCATGCAAAATGCCTGCTTCTACACCCAGATGTGTGTTCAAGGACACATTTAAGTTCTTCACTAAGAAAGGGCTAGATTTTAGGCTACATCAAATGTGTAGCTTGATACCAATCCTGTTTTTAACTTTAATGTGGAGCCCAATACCCTAACCTGCTGTATGTCCATAGTGAAGTGGGAAGGTCAAATACCTTTGGTCCATCTGCTTCCCCTACCCTATATTCTCTCTCTTTGTAAGGAAGCTGAAAAAGAGAAATCTCCATTTGCACCAAGGCCACACAAGGCAACACCACAGTCAGGCTGAGCTATACACTATTTACGTAATGTAGTACATACGTTAACCCTTGTGCAGCCCCCCAGCCAGGATTACCCAGTCCTGCAGCCAACTGAGTTTAAAGTTCCAGCAAGTAACTCCCTGCTCCCAAAACCTTGGACCAGACACTCAATCGCATACACAACTCAAGCACTGGTTGAAAATAGGCATTTATTAAAAAGACTAGAAGATCAGGGCAGAGGGTACTAAAATGGCTAAAACAAATGCACAAGGAATAAAAGGGGAAGGGGATTAAAGAGCAGCAACAATACACCTCACAGCCAACCAACAACCACAGGCTTGTTGGCTTCCTCAAACACAAAATAACAAAGCTCAGCCTAGCCTTAGCTATATGCAGATACTATGCCAGCTATAGGAACAGGCTAGCCTTGCATCCTTCAGCACAGTCTGACAACTGAGTGGACCCTCTCCTCAAAGAAGTACCCCAAGCCCCCTCAGGCCCTTAGCTTTATTCCCCTGCAACTTGGCTCAAGTGATCCATCGGGTGATGTTCCCTGATTGACCACAGATGAAAACCATTTGCCCTTATTGCTGCAATCTCCTGTCCTTGGGTGTAAATTCTCTTGTCCTTGAGGATAATTTACAGTATCACGCCCTTCTGCATACCTCAATCGTAGCCAGTCCTCCCACAACCTTGGGCACCAGCATCCTACTGAGCAAACACCTGACAATTTTAACAGTGTGCCCCTCTTGTCTGTTAACTCTTCCTTGCCTGGCAGAATCCTGAGCCAGTTCATGTTACAACACCCAGATGCAGAATGAGAAAGGAAAGAGACTACCTCCTAGATGCAGATCTGCAAGTTGAAGACTGCTTGGGCAGTGCAAATATAAGCTTGGAGAAAGCATACCATGGTAGTGCCAAGCATGGAAGGGGAAATCTTTTAAATTAAACAGTGCAGTGGATTCAGACCTACCATTCTTCCCTTACACGTACAATAACTGGAATAGAGAATTCTTTACAAACACAGGATCGTCCTCAACCTTTACAACCTTACTTATTGCAAGGAAGAAAATGATGTCAGCTGTGTTTCTCTACTGTCAGGTTTTATTGGGGTGGGTGGGAATTAGGACATCAGGACAAATAGCGTTGACTTCCACCAGCATTGTGTACACTGAGCTTGTATAATTTATGATCTCTCAAGATGAATATTGCCCACCAGCCCTAAATTGTGCCCTGCCAGAGGGCGGACATCTAGCTGCTTCGCTAGGTATTTTGCAGTCCTAGGCAGGCAGCCAAAAAAGGGGGATGAGGGTTAACAGGCCATCAATATGCTGCCATGTGTGCTCAGCGTGCTGTGATTGGCTTGTTGGATCTCAAGGAAGCACTACTTCATACACAGCTGAAACATGGAATTTGCTGCTGCTGGCCAGGGATGGCTGCTAGGTTAGACAGTTTTAAAGCTTTAATTGCGGGTTAGACAAGTTAATGGAGAATATGGCAATCAGTGGTTACTAGTCATGATTGTATTTTACTTCATTTACTTTCAAATTTATATGCTGCTCAATAGCCTGATGGACTCTCTAGGTAGCTATATATAGCCACTTAATACCAACTGCTAGGGTCCATGAGCAGGAGAGTAATAATAATAATAATAATAAATAATAATAATAAGTAATGATTTCATTCCTAAGCACCCCACAGCTGAAGCTCTCAGGACAGTTTACACTGTATTGTTCGTGGGCTTCCTACAAGCATCTTATTGGTCCTTGTAGGAAACATGGGCTTTGATCCAGCATGGCTTTCTTAAGTACTTAATTCATACAGCAGTTACATATACAAGTTAATATGTAAATGACCAAAATATAGTAAGAAGCACCAACAAACAAAGTGGGCACATAGAAAGATGTTAACTCTTAAAGCATAACCATAAATCAAGAGAGGGATTTGGTGAAGAGTATTCCTTTTTCAATTTTGTATATCATGAAAGGACACAAGCAAAGACATGTAAGCTAGAAACAAGTTTATTAAAGATGAGAATCTCTCTTGTTTTACTAATATAAATTATAGACTAGCACGTCAAAAAACTCTCTCTGTCAAGAATATAAATTTTTCTCTGTAAAGTTTTTAGCCTTGCAAAAAATAAAGTGTTTGCATAGATCTGAGATGGCACTCTTTTGAGGGCCGTACTAGCTGACCATGATCAAATCCTTCAGTAATAGAAGGACTGCTTTGGTTAGCTTCTGTGTAATAAAAAAAACAACAACGGACAACAATAATGCAGATCAGAGGGACAAATGCATTAAGACCAACTATTTTACCAAGTACAGCCACAGAGAATTTGAAATAAAGCAAAATAATACTAGGAAAAAGAGAATGTCTTTCTCTTTTAACCTACTTGTGACAGTCGAATTCTGGAGATACAGATGCATACCAAATCTGTCCTGTCTATAAACCGCAACTTAGTTCAGCTACAGAAATTTTGAAAGACATTTGCTCCTTCAAGCCAGTTTCGGAAGCAATTGAGCCCTCTTTCCCGTATCTGTTTTCTTCCTTTATCAGTAATGACTTCACCAGTTTGTTTAACAATCACAAGTTTAGGAATGGCTGTGATGTTGTATTTCTTCTTCAACTCACTGTAAAGAAAAAGAGGGGAAAAGTTGAATACACGGGTGTGAAGCATACATAAGCAAGGCAGATACAAAGCAAATTAAAAACTAAAAGAAACCCTATTAAAATCATATTGGGTTTTCAAAAAATAAAAATCCAATTACAGTTATAGGAAAGGTCCCTTTAGAAAAAGAAAAAAACATCGTTGAAAAGGAGTTCTGAATCCTCTAACAAATAGCACACATTTCTGTAATGCATTTTACAGTCAGAATTGTTACATTAACAGAATCTTCCCATGATGTTTATTCAGATGTAATTCCCATTGCATTTAGTAGGCTTAATCCCAGGGCAAGTGTGCAATGCCTTCCAGATTAAAGTTACAGGAACAGACAAACCAGCAGTTGGGCATTTAATTCCAAGCAGAAAATAAGGATGGGTTTTCCTAACTTAACTATTTACTTTAAAGGATCAGTCTGGCTTATCTAGTTACTATCATCCTGGGACCTCTGTATTTGATCTTTTACTTGTTTGAGATCTGCTCCTTCTGTAAAATGAGCAAGTCTTTCTAATTTTATCAATACTCAGTTCCTTACATGCACAACACTGTAGGAGATGTTCCGACTTTGAATATTTTTCTGGCCCACTAGGCCTGGTGGGAAAGCAGATCACATGTGTATGTTGAGAGACGGTAAATAGAATACTTTCCTGGGAAGACTCAGGGTACAGTAAATTACACCTATCTATCTGCGATTACTCATGATGTAGTCAGGGTCTGTTATATCTCAACTTTTGTTCTGATGCAAGACTGAGTGTATGCCTGTTGTAAATCCCTATTCAAAGCAAGTATGCAAGTCTGTGTTAATTGGCGCATCTGTAACTGTTGTCATTTACATACATAGAAACTGAACGGGTTTCTTTTTCTCTCTGTATAACCAAAGAATATTATATAAGCCAGGGGTATTTCTTTGAGGGCAGAGAATCTTGCCTTCGGGAGATGCCTTGTTAATTTAAATCCCCTTTCCTGCAACTGTTGATCTGCATACTTTATTAAACCTACTTACTTGGAAAAACCTAAATGCAGAGTGAAATTCCTTTTCTTCCACAATGTGTTTGCATATTATATGTTTTATGATGATGTGTGGTCTGTGGATAAGATTGTGTGCTTTAGTCATCAACTCTACACTCTTTTTAAAGAACTAAAAAGAATGTGCATACAGTGCTAGACTTGGAAGGTTATGTCAGATTTATAGCAGTGCCCCCCTAGTGCCTCTGGGGACCAGTTTCTACCTATTTAATGCCACCTCCTCTTCAACCTGAAAGTAAAACCTATCCATATCCTCACATCACAGAACTGTTCATTTTGCCACGCCACATTACTGGCAGCTTGTGGCAGGAGACAGTGAGCCATACAGCATTATGAGGTTTATTCTAATGTGCAGCTGGGCATATTTTATGCATTTGTGAAAAAAATGTCAAATAGAAACATCGTGTTCATGCCCTTGAGAATATCAACTTTCATCCTTTGATCATTTACCACTGGAAGAATTCTGGGAGGTACTCATCAAGTGGAGATGGTGGAGGGGCTGCACCAGATTCTTCAGCAGTTGAATACCATGATTGCAACAGCCCCAGGAATCTGTGAACCATGTGATGTTATGAGGTGGCACATTTGAAAATGAATGAGGGATACAAGAAAATGAGTGCAGGCAGATGACACTGCTCCTAAGTCCATGCATCTTGGCAAAGAGAAAAAGAACTGTACTTCTCTGTTTGGAGCCAAGTGAGAGTAGCTTCCTCACTTCTGGTTGCTCGGCTGGCTGACGGGCATATGGCAGTAGCTCAGTGGGAGGACACAGATGTTGTACACACAGGTTCCTTCCCTGGAATCCAGGAAACACTTCAGTCCAAACTGACAATACTGATGGAGCAATGATCCAGTTGGGCAAAACAGAGCTTTCTGCATTCCTTGTGTGGTTAAAGCTCATATGAAAGGCAGTGTCCTTGCACAATCCCAACACTGGGACGCCCCTGCCTGTACTTCCATGTCAGAAAAACAGAGCATGAACATGTTTGTGGATGATTTTTTTTTTTTAAATGAAGCTCTCTTTGGACTATTTTCTCAATGAAAAAGCCACATGGTAGCATGCTCCTTAGTAAAGGGACAGGATGGGAAAGCTTTCCTCCAAGCAACAAGACCAAGTGGAAAACAGAAATATGGAAAATTGGTGCTCAAGGACAAAATCCCAGCTAGGACAACATTTAAAATTGGTGGGGAATCTTTTCTTCCTGTGGAGGACTGCGTTTCCTCGGGAAAGGCTGTTACTCTGTTCAGGGCTGCATGCCCATGGCGGGGATGGCTCGTGTCCCAGCTGGGCAGGATGAAGCCAGCCCTTTCTCTTTTGACCCCCTTCTCTTGTTATAAAAGGCTTGCTGTTCAGAATGAGTTCTGCTTGCTCTAACTGCAGAAGGCAACCATTCACAGACTGTTTCCTGTGACCCAGCAACTCTGGCAATGGCCAGACTCTGGACCCAAACAGTTTTGGCTAGCTTGCCTTCGCAACAAGTAGGACAAGGCATGCACTCTTGAGCTACAGGATGATGTACCTGAAAGGGGGCCTGCAGAAACCTCAGGCCTTTCCACAAACGTTAAGATGCCACCACTTAAGAGATGCTACCTGGCTGAAGCTGTCTAGCCTAACCACAAACAGACCTCAGGATAAGAGCCACCTAGCATAACCACAAATGTCAAGGGTGTAAGTTTGCATCAGTTCTTGGAACTACATGGAGGTGGTCACATATGTTACTTGGAAAATATCAGCCACAAATTCCTTGACTTCCTGAAAAGGGCCAGAAAGGGGCAGTCTGATAGGCATGGTAAGAATTAATGTTACAATCAATCGTTAGCCTGGAAATACCCTGATATATGCAGTGAAAGCTAATTGTTAACCTATAGACTATAAGAGACCATGCCGAACCCTTTTTGGCATACTTTCTCTCCATCTTCTTCCCTATCCAGCAGACTGCCCAGCAGAGAGACCGACTGCTTGTGTCAGAGGTCCGAACTGCTTGTACAGGGCTTTTGAAATGAGGCCAAGGGCTACAGGGAAATCAGGCCAAGTACCTCCAGCTAAACAAAGTGCTGTGATTTGTGGTTGCGTATTGCTTCAGACACAGGTATCCCCAAATCCTTTCCATTTCTAATGCCTGTACAGGTAGCAATCCGGAATGGGCCATTATTTGCTCCTTGCTGTTCCTAATTGATTTCTTCCGGTTGCTTCACTTGTTTGTCCTTCTTGCAACCTGCTGAGCTCAAAAGTAGATCCTGAAAGCACCAGCTGTAAAAGGAAGTGGCTGAAAAAATCAAGTGAATGGGAGTTATGTAACTTGTTGTTGCTAGAAGCACTGGGAGAGGTCTATACAGAGCCACAGAAGTACAAGTTTACCTCAGAGACGTTCAAACAAGACTTATGCCTGTTAGAGCAGCTCAGTACAAGATAAAACCAATTTTGCTTCCTCGGCAGAGCAGGCCTTTCCTATGATCTACAACTGGCCTGATAGATAAGACATCATTTGAGTCTCTTTTCTGAATATGCCTCCCATTAGATATTAGGCAAGACAAAGCTGTGGTGAATGGCTTATGGATTTTTAAGAATGAGCCAAACACAAAATGACCCAAAATTTATATCCCATCTTTCCTTCAAGGATCTTGGTGAAACATAAAAGTTTCTCCTTCTTGCAATTTGACCTCAAAAACAACTCTGTGAGTAGCCTACTCTAACATATGGGTCTGACTTAAAGTCACCTAGTGACATCTGTGCCAAGGTATGGATTTGAACTCAAGTCTCCCCAATTCTAGTCCAATTCTCTAACCTCTAATCCAGACTAGCTCCTTCCCCAGGGAGGCTCACAGGACAGCTGGCACCGAAGTTAATAATCTTTAGGTGTCAGATGAATATAAAAAAATAAAAAATCCTTTCAGTCTTGAATTCAAGTGCTGCCAGCTGACCGTATTAAGTTTTGAACATGATCTGGTTGTACATTTAATTTTGTTTCAATTTTTTTCCAAAATCCTGCATTCTAGGAGAGAGAACTCCTTTCTTAAAGTCTGGTTCCTTATGTAGCCAAAGCAGCACCAGTCACAACAGGCGTGGCGACCCCAAGGCACATCTTTTAACAAAGGAAAAACCTGGGGAATGGAATCCCCCAAGGACTGAGCATACTCGATGGATGAGCATTACATGATGATGGGTTAGCATCACTATTACCCTTAACAGCAGAAAAAAGATGCTGCAAATTAAGGCAGGAACCTTAATGTGCAGTTTCCATATTTTGTGGCACATGAGTAGAAGGATATCATCCAATGTGGTTGCTAGTTTCCCCCTGAATTCAAAGGATTCTGGGCATCTTATTGAGGGTGGAAGGAACAAGGAGGCAATTATTGCCTCCATACTTCTGCTGCATGAAAAATACATGGCTGTATACACTTATACAGCCAAAATTGCCTGAGACTTTTGCCTTGCTTGCAAGGAGGGGCTGGAGCAGCACTTGGATTATTTTAAAGAGCCTTCCTCCTCCCCAGAGCTGGCACAGAAAGAAACACACTGGCTGAGAGGGTAGAGCAAGGGTGCTCTGAATTTGGAGATCCAGTTCTGACCTCCGAATGTGATTCTCAGGTTGTCCCTGGGACCTCAAGCTTTCCTATGGCCTTTCAGCCATCATCTAGAAGTCATAAAATTGCACCCTACGAACCTTAATTGTTTTCTCACACTGGGGTTCTTGCCCCATGGTAGTGGGTTTTGAGAATAGAAGAGAATAAATTAACATTCCACCAGGCAGGTTTCCTCGGTCAAATTACAGATGTTTGAAGTGCAATAAGTGATTTAATCAAAACTTGTGAAAACTGCTGAATAGACTCCCACTCTAGGGAAATGTATGAAATATTAATAGGGGCCTCAGCCTGCGCAGAACCTTGAGCTACACCCATCAGAGATAATATTCCAAGCGGCTCTTTACATGCTCATTTATCTCAGGATGAAGTACACTAAAGGCTCTGCCTTTTTTCTCCTTTTTTTTCTCCATGCTGTGAACTTGCTGCAACCTTAAGGTGGCCCCTGGATTGTAGAGGCAAACTAGAAGCTAAAATGAGCTCAGAGGCTATTATCTCTGATAAGATCTTGTGCAATGGTGAGATTAATCATGCTGAATGCCAGTGCTGGGCTGCAGCTCCAGGCAAAATAGCTTCTCTCCACACAGTAATATCTATCTATAGATGATATAGATATACATATATAGATGATATAGAATCTTCGCACAAATGTTAACTAATCTATTAACTGGTGGTTACACAGTCACATGAAAGGCAGGGGTATTTTTTGATTAGAGGGCCAGTAACATCACAGGATCCTCCTTCTGATGCCCATTTTAAAAGCCGTTCTAACTTTCTTGTATTTCTTTTTTCTCAGCTGGTTAAGCATTCATTCCTATACCATTCCAGCAGAAGTCTTTAAACCCGAACTGCACTCTCATTTTTCCCTGCAGCAAAGCTACTTCACCCTATATCAGTGGGGGCAGGATGCATTAATAGCCTGTCAGAAGGATGGCGAGTGCGTCACCAGACGCACAGCCGAGGGGTCAGCAGTGGTAGCGCCAACTACATCTGATTGGCCTCCCACCCTCCTTTCTGGGCAGACCCTGAGGCTGCTTAAGCAACAGATTACAGGGAGTTCATGCGTATCTGAATGGAAGAAGGGCGGGGGAGACAGGCAGGGGAAAGCTGAAGCCAATAAGCAAGTCACTCCAGAGATCACACCAACAACACCATCATTCAGGGCTTCCAGCCCGCAATGCTCTGCTCTGAATCAAGAACTTGTTTCAAGGAAAAGAGGCAGTTAACTCTGGCGGGAATGCAGAGTACCTGGCATGTGGGGATGCTTTGGCACGGTGACATGCAGCGCGAGAGCTTTTAATCCACAGCAGCCAGCAAGCCATACCACAGAAAAGGCGAACTGGGGGAACATGCATTCATGATCAGGCCACAAACCAGGGGGTGGGGAAGAAACAGCCTTACATTGCCAGCAATCCAGAAAGGAAAATTAGAGAGAAGCTACAGAAGAGGAAGAATGGGAGCTGGGCCTCAGTAATACATCATGCCTGAAAGGTAGGAGGCATGGGGGCAGGGTGGGGAGAGAAGGATAATGATGATAGCAATTATGCTGATGATCCCCAAACCACCAATATTATCGGCATTACAATAAGGCCGATGGTAATGACAATAGTGACAGTGATGACAATGGTAATAACAATGACCACAGAGCAAGTTAAAAACCAATTTTCTTTACAGAGGCAGCAAAGCCCCAGGAATGGGCAAATAAAGCAGTTGAGCGATGTAAGGTATTGTCTGTTAAGCAAAGTTCTGCCAATAAATAAATAAATAAATAATCAGGGTTTCTCTAAGAAATCAGAAACAGATTTTAAACTAAGACCAAAACAACAACAACAACAAAAAAAAGTCACTTCTACCCACCAACCCCTGCCCCTAAATATTGCTGGCTTATAGGTCTGGACTGATTCAACAAGTGATGCGATTTTCCCTGCCACCTGCTGGGCTGGTACTTGGAGAGGACCAAACTATCTATATATATCTATATCTATATACGAGAGAGAGAGAGACTTATTCTTGTGCAAGCATGTGTGACTTTGATTAAGATTAGGATCATAAATCTGGGGTACGTGGACCTTTTCCTCTTCCCATTTTCATCCTGAAATTCCATCCCCACCTTCTGGGGAGGTAAAAAAAAACAAAACTTTGTATCATATCAGTGGAGATTGCTGATTAATATGCCAAAGAAGGAGGTGGAATTTTGGGACGAAAACAGGAAGGGAAGTTTAAAGCCCCACTCTTGGAGCAACGGAGTCCCAGTCTAAATTGTAGCTATATGTACTTACACCAAAGTAAATAACCCAAATCACGATTTGACAAATGTTTTGCGTGGGGGGCCCTAGATACCCCATTAGCACCAGAGAATTCTCTGTGAGGGTTAAGTCTTTTTAGAATCCAATGTGTATGATGAGCCTTGTACACTCACACTGCATCTCCTCCACAAGAATGGCTATGGCCAAAAATGTAAACAATGCCTGCTGGTCCTCCTGCTGCTGTTCTGCTTACCATGCCATACTCTCAAGAAGGGAATGGAAACAGCTACCAAAGTATTTCCTATTATTACATCACCGACATGCCCAGAAAAGAAATCTTCTTGAAAAACTGTGATTGGCTGAGAGTGGTAAAATAACTGATCGGCTTGGGATGCCTGCTTTCCTGTCCATTTCTTGTCCTGCACTTTGCCATATTAGGTTTTCTTAGCAGCAAGGCCAATTCAAGGCACTATCAGGCATCCATGCCTGTCAGTACTGGCAGACCCCCAGCCTAGCTAGGTCCAGTTGCTGCCTTGCAGAAGTTCTGCTGTACTTGTCCTACCCTGCTGGGTGCCGAGGACAATGGAGCTTGCATAAAGCAAAGCTCCTCTCTTTCAGCAAGCTCTCATTGGTGTGTTTTCCAGAGAGCTCAGGAAGCATCAATAAGGTGCTAGACGGCAGGAAGGTGGTAAGCGTGCAAGAGGTTATTTTAAAATGTTAGGTGGGGAATTTGTCAAGGTGGTGTTCTACCCCTCGTCACCCTCAAAAACTCTTCTTTGATATTTTTAAAAATCTGAGCTACTAAATGCATTCACTTCAGTATAAGCCTCACTGAATGGGAAGTGGGACATGAATACTTCTGAGACCCATTGCGATTTAACAGCTGATGGAATGTTTGCCATTGGACCAGGCAGACCTGGATTCAGATCCTCACCAATCCATCAAGCACGTTGGCCAGGTCACGTTAAACCTAAACAGCATCACAAGACTGTTGGATAAAATGAGACAACCCTGGGTTGGGAAGCAGGGATAAAGGTATGTGATGAACAAACATCTGGAGGATAGGTGAAGCGAAAGCACACACTGGGTAGTTTTGAAAGTGGGAGTTTCTACTAAAGCACACAAATCTCACATTTGATGATGACTCACTGAACAACCTGGCCCATTTTATGGAGCAACCATCAATGCTCAAAGTGTGGCTGCCCTGGACTTTGGGCCAAGCATCCACCTCCTCAACTGCTCTGACTGGGATGGGGCCCCACAGTCTTATGCAGTCCCCATCCTAACACATGGAAATGCCATTCCTCACCGGGGAGCTAACACCTTTCCTCACCTGCCCAGGTTATCTCAAACAGAACACTTCTCATCAGAACCTTCCCACTAAGAGAGGGAAGCCATCCAGTGATAAAAGGACTTTGTGCCCGCTTGGGTTCAGGCACGTGAGTATCAAGAATGAGCAGGAGACACCGAATCTCCTTGCTCAACTCCTCGGCTGCCCAGCTTCCAGCCCCGGATTCAGACGACGCTTTTTCAAGCCTAGCAAACGGATCAGAGTGAAAAGCAGAAACAGCAGCTGTGCCAAAAAGAGGCGCGCTGGGGCGCCCTTTTTCCCAACCCCGCGTCCACGTGCACGTGCCAACGCCACGCCGGCCACCCTCGCTCTACTCACTGCTTCAGAGGGTCGTGGAAAGGCAGCGCCAGCCAGTCCCCGTGCATGCTGCGCATGTACTCCACCATCTCCTCGGCGCTGCGGTCCGAGGAGATGAACACGATCTCGAAGGGCGCCGCTGGGTGCGCGTCCTCCACCAGCTCGCTGTAGAAGTCGCACAGCGTGGGCGTGAACTCCCGGCAGAGGGAGCACCACGCGGCCGAGAAGTACAAGCCCACCACCTTGTTCTCCAGGGCTTGCTCGGGGTCCACTGCGTGGCCGTCCCTGTTGATCAGGAGCCGCCCGCTGAAGACGTCCACCATGCTGAGCGGGGCTGCGCGCGGCGGGGCGCCCGCCTCTCCTCGTCCCCAAGCCGCGATCGTTCACGCCGCGGTTGCTCTGGAAAGGGCAGTCACGTGTATTCTTGGCTGTGTGCGCGGGAGGGGTGGCGGGGCAGAGTTGAGCGAGCCTTTTTCCAAACTCAGCCCCGCACAGCGTCTAAACTCCGCGCGACTCGTATTTGCAGCGCGGGGGAATTGGAGGAATCCGAATCAAACCCAAACCTTCCTCGCTCACTGCGCCGCCTGCTTCCCGAGCGAGCCGCTTGTCCTCGCTGCAGCGCGGATGCTGCTCGGGATGAGAGCGCGGGAGCGACGCGAAGCCAGCTCGCGGGTCAAAACTTCGCCGAGAAAACGCTCGACGTGCATCCGGGGAGCGAGCGGCCGGGCCGGGGCGAGGCCGGCGGGCCAGGTGACGCGGGAGCAGGGCTGGGGGTCGGGAAGGAATGCCTTCAGGTTGCCGCCTTTGTATGCCGGCGCTATAAATGGAGGGAGCGCGGCTAAAAATAGCCTTTGGAAGCGGGGCTTAAAAGGAGCGCTTGGCCCTTCTTCGAGAATTAATTCCAGATCCGCTTGCACAACGGCGGGGCGTGGCTCGGCCGAGCTGGTCCTCACTTCTTCCGAAGTCTCCCGGCAAGCGGAGGGGCGAGCAGGAGGCCCTGCAGTAGCACCAACAAAACACGAGAGGAAAGGTCTTGTTAGGGACTGGAGTCAAAGCTGTGCTTGCAAACCAGCCCACACGGCGTCTTGCTCTTTTTCTTGAAGTCCCCTCTCCGTTCAAGCAAGGGAAGTTCGACGACCCTTAACGTGGGTACAAGCGGAGCGGCATAAAGCAATGGGCAGCTTTCAAGTCCACTCGAACTTTTCTTAAGGCAAGGAAAGGACTGAGGAACAGAAAGACACGCCAGCACTTTGACCTTTTCTTTTTTTCTTTCTCCAACTATGGAAATCCTTCCGGAGATTCATGATGAGTCGACCAAAGGTTCCCTACCCAAGGTCAACAGGTTGAATGTTTAGGAGCCAGCATTAATTTTTTGCCATCAGCCTCTCTTTATTTAACAAATGAAAAGTCATTTCACCCGAGTTTTACTTTTGCTGAATCTTAAGACTAGAATTTCAGTTCACCAAGCACAAACAAGCCAGACTTTAGCTTGTTTAAGCACCTAGGCTCAAACTCTTCCACTGGAATAAATGGGCCATAACAGTCCATTTGGGTGTGCGTGTATGTAACAGACATGCATTCACCTGCAGCCACCTCTTTCTTAACTCTGCCAGGGTCATACAAGTCAGAGCAAAAGGTGTGGGGTGGCATTTAAATTTCCCCCCTTATCCCCTTTCTTCCTGCAGGTGCCAGTGGGAAGGAAACAATTGCTCACTCCAGTTTAGACATGCGATGGGGACTACTACTAGAGACTAGCGGAATGATTCAACTGGTTTATTAAAGGGTTGTGCATAAGGGAATGCTAATAGTTACTCTGGGAGATCTAAAGCAATGCTTGCTGACTACTTAAGCACTCAAGGTGCACTGTTGCTCATTCAAGCTCTTCAGGTCCAATTTTAGGATGCTCGTAACCTCCTGTACTTGAAGGATTGCATGCATCCTTTGCAGGCAGGAGGAGTGCAAAGGATGTCCAATTCCTGTGTTTTGGATCAAGGGAAGGAGGCTGAGGTGCACGCAGGACACACTGCCTCTTGGCCGCAGCAGCTTCCCTTCCTTCCTCTCCCCCAACCCCACCTCCGCGGTCAGTTAGAGAAGCAGCCATTGTGGTTCTTTCTGCTCCCTCTGTGAGGGGGGCAGGGCACTTCAAATACAGAGTCACAGCTCTGATGTTGGAGCTGTTTTCCAGTGTTGGACTTGGAAAAATCCCATGCCCTCTAGATGTTGTGCAGGGCCTCTATGATTGTCCCATTCATGTTTTCTTTTAACTCCAGAATTCCCTAAATTTCCCAAACCTCCATTCCAGCCAAATGCACTCACAACCCAGTCCAGTTCTTGGACATAGTATTCCTCTGACATCAGAACCTCTCTTGCTGTAATAATGTTACCATGGACAGTTTATTTGAGTTTTAATGCCTCAGAACTCAAGGCAGTGTATCCTTCTGCTAAGATCTTAGGGCAGCCAACCTGCTCCTGAACTTTACAAGCTATTACAGTTCTTGCATAGATAAGGAATCCTTAATATGACAGTGTCAACTATCTACCTTCCCTGCCTTTCTCTAGTCCTTCTATTACCCATGACAGCCAACAGATTCTCTGTTTCCCAACAGCTGACTGAGTCAGCTGATACCATCAACTCCTTAACTGTCATCTAGGTAGAACCTCCAGCCAATCACAAGCATGTACCCCAGACCAATCAAATTGAACTTACCTGTTCCAAACTCCGTCTCTCTCTCTCTCTCTCTCTCATATAGATAGATAGATAAATAGATAGATAGATATATGGGGGGGGGGATTATCATTTTCCTCTTCTTTTCCTCCTCAGGCTGGCACAATTATAACTTCACAAAGACCACAATAAGCATTTAATCATTCATAATGACAATTATTCACATAGTATTTCTTCATACTTGCCATCTGAAAACCAGTTCATCCTAACTCATTACAGATGCTTTTAATGTTATCCCCTTTGCACAGGTGCAGCCCATAAATCTAACATCAGAATTCAAGTTGCAAACAGTTCTATAGACTACTTCAGGGGTAAAGAACCTCAGGCCTAGCCCAGCCAACTGGGTGTCCCCAGATGGCCACACTCTTTGTCCTAATCATTGATTGGGGTTTGTTCCTCACATTTTGTGCAGTTTTCCCCATTTTAAAAGGTTTAAATCCCTTTCCCAAGACTTAGTTAAGGGCAGTGAGATCTTTAAGCAAAAGTATGATGATATTTTCGCCTACTCCTTTTGCCTTTGGTCTCTAAAATGCAGCCAACAAGAGCTTCCTCAAAATATTTTTAAGGTAATGTTGCCAATTGCAGCACTCCAAAATACCCCAAAAGTAGTTGACCAGAGGAAGGCCCCAAAAAATAGTTGGCTAGAGGGAGGTCACATAGGAAATTCAATAGGGCTGTGGTTTTTTCCTATCTCAGAAGGGAGTGGGGATAAGGACAAAATGAACTTTGTGTAACCCACAGCTAACAAGCTAGCCTGACCTTGAATACAGTAATCAAAGGGACGGTGGAAAGTGGTTCTAGCCGCCATGAAAGTTGCAAATGTACAGGGAGTAAGAACTTGGCAAGCCTGTGTGAATCTTGAGCAGCTAAGAAATAGACATGGGGATGTTCGGTCCTTGACAGAAGAAAGGACTCTTTGAAGCTAACGGCAGGGGAGGGGATCCATACATTGATGTATTGATGCATTAAATGTGTATTAGGTGACCTAATTGCTTATGTAGGATGTGAAACAGATGCACTGGGGTGCAACTTTGGAGAAACTGCTTTGGGCTGCGTATCCCCTTTCATCTCCCTTTATTCTATAGGGCACTAGAATAAAACTGCTTTGGTTCTAAGTCTTGTCTCAGGCTCCTTTTGACTCGGGGTCTGGGGTCCAAATGGGCTTGCCCTAGCTGTTGACCAGCTGAATTCAGTAACACTGAAACAGGACCTGCTGCAGGTCTTTTCTAAATTGAATACGTTGCAATCTCTCTATATTTCTCTATATTTTATATCAACTCCCTCCATTCAAAATTCACCGATCTGTCTCAAGTGACCACCTGAATTCTTATGGCATATTTACATTACAGTTTTAAACCGGTACAAATGTGAGCTTTCTCAAAGAATTGGAAATTTTAGTATTGTGAAAGCCCAACAATGTAAGATGTGTTGGCTTCTTCAGAAAATTATACTTACTGATGTCATATGGTTAAATTCATGAACATTTGAAATGTCTTTAAATGTTATCTTAGAAATCACAAGGATCTTCTTAGTATGCCAAATCATTTTTACATGAAAGGATCTTTTTAACAAGCAAGCAACCAAACAAATCCCCAACTGGGTTTTGAAACTGAGAGAAGGAAAATTACTGTTACTAAGCAGAAGAATAATGGATTGCTAAAGGCCATAGTAAGGAACCGTATAAAGAGATTTGTAAATAGAAAGTAGAAATAAGTAGACAGGTTTGAATTAGTTACTAAGGTAACTAAACAAGGGTGAATTAATATGTAGTATAACTAAGTTTGAACACAAGAAGAATAGTATTTCTCACATCAAACTTCTGAAGAAAAGAAGGGGGGAATTGTAGGGAATGGTCAAACTATTGCTTTTGCAGAAGATAGCAGGTGATTGTCTCTTGGCAGCTGGCTAAAACGATAATTGGCTTGGAAGAAAGTTGGCTATTCCCTATCTCATTCTTCCAGTAGTTTAGGACTGATGCAAGGACAAGATGAACTAGAGAACTCCTAGGAAGTAGTGTGCACACTTAATAGGCTTATGAATAATAACTGGCACACCTCTCACAGGTAATGGACTTATTAGCAAGAACATGGGATGCATGAACAGGTGGGGGAACATACGAAGGAGAAGTATGATGGAGGCAGATGGAGAAGATTGTGACCTCTTAGTAACCCAGCCAATGGATGAAAAGAGGCAGGGCCTGTGCATTGGGGAAAGGGAATAAGAGGCAATGTCTTTTGCCAAATCGGCACGCCACCTGTGTGGTGGCCGCCCGCTCTTGCACGTACCTATTAAACTAGTACTGCTTGCTACTTTGCCTCCCATGTCGTCACTACTTGGAACTTAATTTCATTCCTAACAAAACCAGAATGTGAGGCTGCTTTTAAATCCTGATTAAAATAGAACCCTAGATAGAGTTCTTGCTTTTAACTCTCTAACTGCTCTTATACTTGGTGACTTGCTTTGAAAATTGGGAGAGCTTGGAATTTTCTAAGAATTTTATATTATATTGTTCAAGTACTAGTAAAAGTTTTAGAGAAGCTGCAAGAAGACTGGTGCTTTTTTGCTCATAGTAAGCATTGTGCGTGTGTTTATTGTTTG